CCTGAACGATTCTGACTTTAGTGCTCAGTTGTATGTCTTTGCTCTTCAATATCTTTTCCAGTTCTATCATAGCCATCCTTCCTATTCCTAGTCATCTTATTTCTTAACTGCAGTCTCCAAGCTGTTCAGTGTTTGATCCTAGATATGGGAATTCTTTAAATATTTCAATTTCCTTGTTGTCTAGATTGAATTTGTCTATTTCTTCTGTGGTCATCATCTGTGTTTTCTTTATGTTCAGCATCAGACCTGCCTTTGCACTTTCATCTTTGACCTTCCTTATTAACTGTTCCAATTCCTGAATGTCTTCTGCTAATATTATAGTGTCATCTGCATATCTTAGGTTGTTAATATTGTGTCCTCCTATCTTAACTCCTCCTTTTTCTGTTTCTAATTCTGCTTTTCTTAAGATGTTTTCAGCATATGTTAAATAAGTAGGGTGATAGGATGCAGCCTTGCCTGACTCCTTTGCCTATTGGGAACCACTCTCTTTCCCTGAAATCTGTTCTGACAGTGGCCTCTTTTCCTTGGTACAGATTCCTCACCAGGACTATCAAATGTAATGGCATTCCCATGTCTTTGAGTGCATTCCATAGTTTTTCATGATGTATACAATCAAATGCTTTACTGTAGTTTGTGAAACACATGCTGATGCTTTTTTGAAATTATTTGGTGCACTACATTAGCCATCGTATGTTTGCAGTGTGGTCCCTACTTGTTAGGAGTGTTGCGATATGTAGTTAAAGTGGAAATGTACAGATGTGGGAAAATTTCTATTGGAAAGACTTTGAGCTTGCAGGTGGCAAATGTAAATAACTCACACAAGGTCAGTGGCTTGAGAACACAGGAAGATAGAACATAAACAATTAGATCATCTTTGTTGTCTGGGAGCCAGGATCACATGACACATGACTCACAGCAAGAGGCTGGGTTAGAGGCTGGGTTAGAGGCTATTCAGCAAATTGTCTATGGAGGTATACACCCATGGGAGAAGTTTGGGGTTTGGCTTAGAGCCTGTTTTGTTCTTACAAATTATACACTGTGGTGTGTGTGTATTGATCTTATATATTTCTTTCTGTATGAAGATGGCTGTATATTAGTTTTGTCTTTACTATGTAATCATGAATAAAAAGCCTTCTTAGAAGAATCTTTGCTCTGGTCTGGCTTAATGAAAAGCTTGAATCTATAGAGAGCTGAAGGATGGATGCATTCCAGGAAGGTGAAATCAGCTCAGTTCTGATCCAGAGACAAAGGTGGCTGATGGATGTAAGCCTGGCATTCGGGCGCAAGATCTCTGCTACTACAACACCACCATAAATAAATCAACACTAGTGCCCCTTCTTTCTGAATCCTGCTTGCACCTCTAGGATTTCCCTCTGCATGTATGGTTGGAGCCTATGCTGCACAATTTTGAGCATTATTTTGTTTGCATATGAGATTAGTGCTATTATCCTATAGTTGCTGTATTTTGCATCTCATTTCTTGTGGATTGGTATGTATATCGAGTGTTTCCAGTCTTTTGGCCACTGCTTTATTTTCTGTATTTGTTGCCATATTTCAGTTAGCACTACAGTTACATCTGTCTGTAGACATTGTAGCAGTTCAATTGGGTTATCATCTGTTCCCAGTGATTTACTTTTTCCCATTTCCTTTATTGCAGATTTCACTTCACTTCTTAGAATTT